AAATGGATGCACATTGAGGCAATACTCTTAAGTGAAATAAATAGGACACACATGTGTAAATACCAAATATTTTCTCTAATGTGAGAAACTGAAAGTGTAAATAAGGACTAAAAGGTATAATAGAATTCAGTGAACAGAATAAAAAATACAATTGAGAGCTACAACAAGAGATTAAATGGAACAGAGGAAAGAATTTCTGAACTTTAAGTTCTTTGGATTAACCAAGCAGAGTAAAATGAGAAAAATAATAAAAAGTGAAAAAAGCTCATGGGACCTATGGGACATCAGATGAACAAATATTCACATTTTGGAAGCTCCAAGGGGGGAAGAAATGGAGAAAAGTACAGAAAACATATTTACAGAAATAATACCTAAATATTTTCCAAGTCTTGAGAGAACTGTGGACATCCATATCCATGAAATTCAGAGAACCCCAATTAGACTCAATCCAAAGAGGTCCTTTCCAAGGCACATTATATAACATTAAGCCATAGATAAAGAAATCTTCATTAGACTAACAGCAGACTTCTCAGCCGACACCTTGCAAGATAGGAGAGAATAAAATGCTGAAAGAAAAAAAAACTTCCATACAAGCTTCAAAACTGAAGGTAAAATAAAACTTTTCCTCAGACAAAGAGAAACAGAAAATTATCACTACTGGAACAGCCTTATAGGAAACATTTAAGGGAGTCCTACATCCAGAAATGCAAAGGAGCCATCTACCATTGTAAAAGCATGTGAAAATATAAAATTCATTGGTAGTATAGATCCACAAATGAGAAAAAAATAAATCAAACTTCATTACTATAGAATACCACCAAACCACAAAGATTAACAATAAGAAAGGAAGAACAAAGGATAAATAAATCAACCAGAAAATAAAATGACAAGTATTTTTCTATTGATAATAACCTTGAATATAAATGGATTTCATTCCCCCAATTAAAAGATATGAACTCACATAATGGATTTTTTTAAAAGACCTAAATATATACTGCGTACAAGAAACCAACATCACCAGTAAGGATGTACAGACTGAAAGTGAAAAGGTATTCTATGCAAACAAAGACAGTATTAAGCAGGAGAAACTATAGTTATATCAGATAAAAACAGACTTTATGTCAAAAACTATAAAAAGAAATATGGAGGTTATTATATAATGATAAAAGGGTCAGTTAACCAAGAGAATATAACAATCATAAATATATATGCACCTAACAGCAGACCACCCAAATATATAAAGTTAATATTATTAGAGCTAAAGGAAGACATAGTCTCCAATACAATAATATTTTAGGACTTCTAACCCCCATTTCCAAAAATGGATAGATCATCCAATCACAAAAAACATCAGATTTAGGGCCAGGGATTTAGCTCAATGGTTCTGGCGCCTGCCTTACAAGCGCAAGGTCCTGAGTTTGATCCCCAGTATCAAAAAAAAAAAAAAAAAAACCATCAGATTTAAACAATACCAAATAGACCTAATGCGTTTACAGAACATCTCATCCAACAGCTACAGAATACACATTTTTCTTATCAGCACATGGAACATGGATCATGTGTTAGGACAGAAAACAAGTCTCAACAAATGTTTTTGTTTTCATTTAATCATATCTTCTATCTTCTCTGGGCACATAGAGTAAAATTAGAAATCAAGAACAAGAGAAAAGGTAGAAATTATACCCATCCAGAATATTGAAATTAAACAACATGCTCCTGGATGACCAATGGATCAATGAAGAAATTATTAGGGAAATTCAAAAATGTCTTGAAACAAATGAAAATAGAAACATAACGTACCAAAACCTATGGGATATGGCAAAACTAGTGCTAAGAGAGAAGTTTATAGCAATAAATGTCTACATCCAAAATATTTAAAAATACAACATTTCAAATATTCAAACCTAACAGTGCAACTGAAGAAACTAGAAAAGCAGAACCAAACCAAATGTAAATTTAGAATCAAAGAAATAATAAAGATCATAGCAAGGAAAAAAGTTCACTTTTTGAAAAGATAAAATCAACAAGCTAGACTAAGAAAAAAAGATGACTCAAAATCAAAGACAAAAAGGAGACACTGTAACAGATCCAATGGAAATACAAAGTATCATTAGTGACTTATAAACCACTATTTACCAACAAATTGGAAAAACTAGAACAAATGGATAATTCCTGTATGCATATAACCTACCAAGATTGAACCATGAAGAAATAGAAAATCTGAACAGGCCCATAACGAGTATAACAAGATTGAAGCTGTAATTTAAGTCCCCCATCAAATAAAAGCTAAGAACCAGGTAGCTGTTGGCTTCTGAATTCTACCAAACATTTAAAAAACTAATTGTTTTCAAGTTACTGCAAAACAAAAATTAATGAGGAAGGAATTCTTCCAAATTCACTCCATGTGTACTGATACAAAAAGCAGACAAGAACACAATTTATAAATTACATATCAATAGACCTGATGAACATAGATCCAAAACAGGTGATCCCATAGAAGTATGAAATAAAATAGGGGATTACGAGAGCCTGAGAGTTGTGGAAGTAGTTTGGAGAGAGGACAACAGGTACAGGTATGCAGTTGGATTGAAGGAATAACTTCTAGTTCTATAGCACCAGCAGCTGGCTATGGTTGGTGATGTTATATATTCTGAAATAGCTAATAGAGAATAAATATCCCCAATGAAAAGAAATAAGTGTTTAGGTTTCAATCTGATGATTACAAGTTATACACATGTATTGAAATGTCACATTTCACCACATAAATATATACAATTATAGGTCAATTAAAGTTATTTTAAGTTTGTAAGAATTAAGTTCTAGGTTCTGGTTTATTATAAACAAAATTTTCACCTGTAAACATGCCTGGAAAAGTCATTCAAAAGTAGAGGTAGATGCAGAACAATTCACTGCATGTAGACTGTCCAGGATACTTGCAAGATATCTGGTATGACCGGTATCTGTCCACCAAATACCAATAATAATAATGGCATTTAAAAATAAACATGCACTGTATTATAAAAATGGATACCATATCCATTGAAATCCACTGGACACTGGCATTAGGAGAAGGTTTAAACTGAATTTTTAAGAACTTCTAGCAGTTACCCAAGTAATAGTAAGTGCTCAAAAATTATTTGTTGAATAAATGAAGCCTGATTTTCCCTTCCTATTGCTATTCATTTCTTGAGAAATTGTTGGAGTATATAATTTAAGCCATTCCTTACTATAAAAGTTGAAATAGAATTCTATGTCAGTAAGTTGGTATGCAAGGTCAAGACCATTGGAAGGCTGCCTAATAACTTAGGATGACAAATGTTTGATACAAGGTTCCATGAGCCATTGTATCTTGGTCTCCAGAACATTTAAAGTCAACTTAATTGCATGAGATGGCATGATGTTTATACACTCTACAGACTGTGAAGTTAAAATATTCATAGTCTTTACTGGCCTGTTTTCTTTTAAATTAAGTATGTGGATTTCTGTATATAGTAGTCATTATCAATCTGTTCTTTCTGGTTATTTTTCAATAGGATATTGAAGAGACAATGAACACTGCTTTGAATGAACTCCGAGAACTGGAGAGACAGAGTACAGCAAAGCATGCACCTGATGTGGTGCTGGATACCTTGGAACAAGTGAAGAACTCTCCTACCCCTGCCATTTCCACAGAATCTCTCAGCCCTTTGCACAACGTTGCTCTCAGGAGCTCAGAGCCTCAGATTCGACGTAGCACTAGCTCCTCCAGTGACACAATGAGTACTTTCAAGCCTATGGTGGCTCCCAGAATGGGTGTGCAGCTGAAGCCCCCAGCCCTTAGGCCAAAACCTGCTGTTCTTCCAAAAACAAACCCTACTGTAGGACCTGCCCCACCTTCCCAGGGTCCAGCAGACAAGTCTTGCACGATGTAAATACCAGCTGAGCAAGGTTATAAGGGGAAGTGATTTTTAAAAAGAAAATGGATTAGTGACAAAAGTTAGTGATCCATAACTTTCCTTAGTTTTGTGCTTATAACTGGAGATCTTTTGGCTTTTCTATGTTGTCGAATGTAATATCTAAGACTAGCTAAATTAACATGGGCATTTGTATTTTGTAATTTTTCTAAATAACTGGACATATGTCATTTTAAAAACAATAGAAACACTTAGACTTACTTGAAAATCCAATGCTGCACCACTTATAATGAAGGCAACACTGCTCCCTGCATTGCATTCCACAGTGCTTCAGATTTAGTATAGCCCAGATGAGTCAGATGGCTTGATTGGAAACCAGGAGAATCTGAGTTCCAGGTCTTACTGGAGTATAACCAGTGTTGGAGTGGCCCTTGGGCTAATCAAAAGGTGATCAGGGCATTATTGGTAACTATGAGCACCTCTGATTCCATCCAGAGTGGGAGTCCAACTTCTGCTAAAGACTTGCATTTATCACAGTGGAACCTTCATCCCATGAACTGAATGGACTGAATGATTGCCTCTTCCATAACAGTCATTGTGTGGGTCCATGTTAGAACCCCAGTGGTGCTTGATTTGAACGAAGAAAGAAGAGGGAGACATCATGTCCAAAGCTACTGATGTTACTCCATCCATAACCATAATCAGGCCCTGGAGATTTCCAAGTCCACCCCCTGTGTTTACAAAGGACTAGGATAGTCCAAAGACTTTCTAATTACCCCACCAGCTCCTGCAAAGATCTTTTGTTCTAACTGCCTAGAAAATACTTTCATCTCCCTGAAATCCCAGTTTTCCTCTGTGGGAAGCATACAAGACATGAATCCTTGATCCAGTCAATGTTTTCTGACTAAATTACCATGGTTCCATTAAATATACCATAAAGGTCTGATGATCCTAAATTTGAAATCCCATTTCTCCTCTCCACTTCTCCTTTTGAGCCAATCCAGAACTGGCTATGGTACTTGTGTAAAAGCCATGATGGACCATCATAGAAGGATTACCTCATGGTTCCAGGAGGATTTCCTCTCAGTTTTGTACCTGGGAACCATGACTTTTCTTTTCCTCTATTTTTGTACTTTTTAGCATGTGGTTTCTATATAACTCACATAGTCAATCAAGCTCAATTAGAGAGCCTCTCTGGCTTCCATCCACATAGACAGTTTTTCTTTAGCTCATATTTTACTGTTTTTCTGCTATCTTAAAAAAAGTTTTTAGTTTTGTTTTGGGGGGCTGGATGATGCTGGGCATTCTAAGCACACACTCCACCACTGAGCTATATCCCTAGTCCCCCTAAAATTGTTTTGAATGTGTTTGCTTTTACTAAGGTACAAATAACCACTGTCCTACCAGCAGCAGTTGATAACATCTATAGATGTATAAACTTTTTATCTGTGCTATCACTGAACTTCCAGATGAAGGAATATGGATTCCTCCAAGCAAATTCCTTTGGACCACTGTTGAATCTGTCTATATTTAGTTTCAAACTGGCAGCCACTTACAGCCCTACCTAAGAATTGCACATTATGGACTTTAGTTCATCAGCCCGTTGATAAATGCGTCATGCAGAAAGGGATTAAGATCTGTACTAAAATAAGATCATTACTTGTATCTTTACCTGTTTCCCAACCTAATCACTCTATTGCAGAGAGAGGTTGAATTAATGAATTGTTATCTTCCAAAGTCACACTTGCCTGTGGCCTAATTTCATAAATGAATTGAATAGTGTTCTCCCCCTCACACCTCCCCGTGTATTTCCAGTACAGTAAAGTTTTAAACTTCTTAATTTTCAGAACTATTCTTTTTTGGACATTTTCAAAAAGAGGCCCAGCTCAGCATCAGCCCAACCCCTGACCATTCTTTTGAGTTCAGTGGTCATTTCGCCCTTTTAGACATCAGCAGGACTGAACTTTGAATTAGCACTAACCCTTGTAAATAGTCTTCTCCAAATTCTCTAGGAAGATTAAATTTTTCTTATCTCTCAGTTATTTAACATAATAAGAGTTCTTAAAACCATTTTCCTTCTTTGACGGAAAAGTAAGATGTTAACAGGCCAGGGGAAAGGCAGAGGTGTTTTGAATGCTCTTTACAAGCTTTCACTTTCACTCTTCAGATCTTACTCCCGCAAGCTGTTCCTTCAGATATCTCCCTGGTAATCCACCCCATGGTGTCCTCGTTTTTGGTGTTTTCACCTCTTATGGACCACTGATTGCCCTTTCTGGCCCCCAAATCAGGACTCTGTTGCCTTGGACGATGGAGGATGTGGCTGCCATCAACCCTCAGAGGCTGTACCTTCTTTCAGGAAACAGCTGCTAATATGCTCCCCTCCCTTACAGGACTACATTTTTTCTCCCTATACTCCTGCTGTCACCTTCACATTTTCCCTGCTCAACTCCAAGTGAAGGGTATGACCTCTGATTAAGGACTTACTTATCTTTACTTCATTTAGTAAAAGTCTTCAGATTCCAGGGATAAGACCAGCTAGCCACTTCACAAAGATCCAAGATAACATCCATGAAAGTTCATGCAAACCTGCAGCAGCTGAGAAGGTTCACCTGGTGTACAGCCTTGAGGGTTTCAGGTGGAGCCCATGGTGGGCAAGCAGAGGAGAGAGAGGGAGAGAGAGGAAAAAAAAGGAGTCTTGGAAATGTCACGTTCTCATTTCAAGGATCTTAGCAGTCTTCATGTGCAGTTTAAGGCGAGTGTCATTTCGAAAATGAGTAAATTATGGTTCTACAAATACCATCTGACTCTACCTACACCAGAATACATATTCACAGCTGCTATCATTGTATGTTCATGTCCCATCCATAGAACTCACTGAAATAGATATATCTAGCAGCCTTTTGGCTTGGGTTAGGGATATGGGGAGTGGGTTATTAGGATAGAAAAGAAAGGTACTTAGTTTACATTTTCTGATGAATGTTATGAAAACTATTTCAGTCTGTTGAGTGGACTTTGTAGAGCTCCATGTTCATGTTCAGTGTGAACACCATTGTTCAACAGTTTTTTCTGTCTTCACACAAGGTAATCTGACTGGTGCCCCTTGACCCATCCATAGAATAAGCTACAGCAGGGTCCCACTTAATCTACCATCAGGTAATATCAATGGCTATAAAGCTCCAGGGATCAAATTAATATCCTTTAATAGTTTTCTGTCATTGTATTTTTGCCATTCCAAAAATGTGTTTAAAATTTATTTAAAATGAAAAAAAGGGGATGAGTTAGTAATGGTATCCTTAGCATTTAGAAATAACTTCTCTGAAGTTGATGAAGAAACTATAATCTGATAATTACACCTCTGAAATTCAAAAACCATCTATGTGTAGGGGGTTAGAAAACTTCAGGTTTGGGTCATGACTCATTTATACCTGACCACAGCAGTTAGAGGCTATGAATGCAGGAAGTGCATGTGGGACTCAGTCGTGCTTTCAATTATCCACTGCAGATGCCCTGAGACACAGGGCAGCTGAGAACCGAAGGCTCTAACCATGTACAGAGCCCTTCTATTCCAGATCGTCCCCGGAGCTGAGAACTCAGCGTCCAGCTGGGCTGGAGCACCAGGCTTTCTTCAGGGTGACTTGGAAACAGAGGGGTAAATTAGCTGGAATGTAAGCTTTCACTTACCCTAGTATACCTTCTTTAAAAAACAAATAGTCTACATGGTATAATCGAGATGGATATCTGTATCTTTAAATTACGTAGGGAATTTTGTATGTTTAAATAATTGTACTGGGTTCCATAATGCTTACCTTAGAAACTGTTTAGTAAAAGAAAAATATATAAACTGTGCATTTGTGAATGCCCCCGTTAGAGCATTCATGCAAGTTCAATGTGTAGTGTGATGGTTATTATAGATATTTAAAGTATAGTAAGTGGCTGTGTAACAGGAAAGATTATTTTACCTGCGTACTTAAGGTAACTCCTGCCCATGTAATTAAATCAGTATTGTCCTTTCCTGTCAGTTTGACCATTTGCAGTACTGGTAGCTTCCTGCTTGTGACTGTTACCTAATTGTGTCAATGTACATCTGTAGTATGTACATGTGAAAGTGCCTTTCTATTTAGAGGAGTCTAGCCTTGCTCTTGTACTGTTACCCCATTCTATGCCCACCCTCCTCTTCCTTGGTGCCCACCTGAGTGCTCCGAAATTTTCTTCACTTTCTCTCTGCATCTTTTCTATCCCCACTTTCTGTGCCTCAGTGCTCCATCCAGTCTGTCTTGCATCCCTGTCGATCATCAGACTCTCGTTGTCCTCGTAGACGTGGTTGTGCCTTTCTCACCCAGCAGTGACTGAGTCCTCCCATCCCCGCCCTGCTCACATACTGCACCTGCCATCAGTTTTACCCACGCTCTGCTCTGCCTCTTCCCATTACATCCCCTCCCTTCTGAGGTGAAAATAACAGGGGCTGCTTTTCCAGTTCTGGAAAAAAAAACATGTTTTGTTATTCTGTTGTGACAATGCACTTTTCTGTATAGTACTGTACATTTTGGCATGTACCGTTACAGGCTTCCGTATACAGTCGGGTTTGTTCTTCATGGTGTATCTTTGTAATAAATAAGATAGTTCTGGCCACCTTTGTCTACTTATGATGTGTTGTGGTTCTCTGTGGTGGCTTTATTCTTTTCTTTTTTTTCTCATCAGTATTTTCCCCCAGGGGGCTGGGTTGAATTAAATAATGAGAATTTAAACTTTTTTCTAAATGTTATTTATCTCACGTTCATTTTTGTTCGTGCATCTGAAAATGAAGTGTGCACAGACTTTGTCTGAGAAGCTGTAGTTTTTCTGAGTCATGATTTGGACAGTCCTGTGTAGCAAAGTAAAGGTGCTGAAAGAGAATAGTCTTCCTAAACACATCAGGTTGAAATCTTTCCTTTGAGAAGGACTCGTTGGCATAATAAAATTTTAATATGATCCTTTCTTTTATTTGAATAAATTGAAATATAACCCTTAGATACTGACTGTTTAGATATTAATATTTTTTCTTCAAACATAAGTGAACTTTTGAGGTCAAGCAATACATAATAGTTTTACAAAACTGCATCGATCATGTGGCAGATTGAATATTGTTAAGAGATATGAAGTTTAGCCAGGCCTGGTGGTGCACATCTGTAATTTCAGCTCTCAGGAGGCTAAGACAGGAGGATCGCCACAAGTTCCAGGCCAGCCTGGGCTATACACTGAGTTCAAGGCCAGCCTGAACTACATAGCAAGACCTTGTCTCAAAATAATAATAATATAAATAAATAGAAAAAGTGAAGTCTAAAAGATGGCATATAAATCAGAATTAACTTTTGGATGACACAAAGGGGAGAACCTTCACTCAGAGGGTGGAGAGAAGTGTCAGCCTGATGCTGCATTTGCTGGGTGATCCCCAAGGAAAGGGAGGGGTTCTGGAAGAGGAACTAGCTGTCCAGGACTAACATAGCAAAAAATATATATATATTTTGATTGAAGTATAAAATATATAGAGAAAAGTACACAAATCATTAGTGTAATACTTTTCACAAAGTAATACACCAGGCTCAGTGGTACACTGCAAGCTTAGCCTGCACAAGCCCAAAGATCAGTGCCCAGCACCCTCCCAAAAGAAACCACTAATGTATATTTCACCTAGATCAAAAAATAGCACATTATCAGATCCCAAAACTGCTGTGTTCTTTCCTCTCCAAAGTCAGTCAGTATCCTGAGGAATCACACCAGGATTGTTTTGTTGTTGTTGTTATTGTTTTGTTTTATTTTTGCCTGTCATTTGCTCATTTTTCTATAAATAAGCACATACAAGTGTAGTTTTTGTGCCTGACTCTTTTTGTTGAAATTTGTGCTCGGGCTGAGGATGTAGCTCAGCAGTAAAGTGCTTGCCAAGCAAGACAGGGCCGGGGGGGCGGCGATGAGAGACATCATTGTTAAACTAGCAGTTTTCCCATTTTTATTGGCTATATAGAATTCTGTCACAGGAATATGCTCAATGTTATATTTTAATATTTCCTAATTAAACTTTGGGTATAGTGTGTAGAAGTCTTTAAACCTGAAAAAATATGTGAGGGAAAAAAAACACCTATTAACAGAATTGTTTTCTCAAAACATGGAAGGATTCTGAACTAAACCATTGACCAAAAGTCCTGCCTAAGGATAGATTGATTACTTCTATTTTTTAAAAAAAAGAAAGAAACTATCCAATCTGGAAGTAAAGAAATATTCCCAGATGATACTGAAAGTAGTGTGAGATTTATTGTATGTTATAGTTCTTTTATCCAATGCTGGATGGATGCTTATTTTCAACGCCCACTTTAAGACCAGAGAGTTGGATTTAGAGGCTGTCCACCAGAAACAGAACCCAGATCACACTATAGAATTGTTCCAGTAAGATCTCACTGTTTTCTGTCTTGTTTTCTTCTATCCTCCAATCTGAGAGCCTCAGCCTGCCTAGCCCCTCTGTGTGCACCTCACTCCGCACCCCTCACTAAGGGATCAGAGTCACATCAGGTGCATCTGGTTGTTAGGACCCAACAGTTCATATGCCTGCACCTGCTAAGAATCTTAAGGAGGCAGGGAAAGGAGTTTTCTGGCCTTTATATTAGGTACTTGGAATACCTAACAAGGAAATGTTCCCAAATTTGATCTAGGATGTCAAAAACATCCTGGATGGCCTAAAATTTTGGTAAATTCCATTTCACGGGCCTTCTATCCTCATTGGGATTTTGGAAAATAAGATCAGTATACATTTGGAAAATAGCTGTGGCGTTTTTTCTATTTTTACATGGTAGGTAGAAAAAATTGCTTCTATAATAGTAATTTTTAAAAAGCCATTATTCTGTCAAGGTCAGTTCCAGCTTTCTTACTAGGAATGGGCAGGATATCAGATGTTTGTGACTGGGGCTAGGGAAGAGGGAAGGAAAGATTGTTCTTTCTGGAGTCTAAAACAACATGCTTCATTTAGCAATAATACCTTGAGACAATAAAAGCATAACCCAAGAGATTTGAGCTCTAAAGATATTGCAATCCAATTATGGTGAAAGGTAGTTAGTTACCTTCCTTATACCCATCAGCTATCAGGAGTGCTCCTGAGAGTGCCTGCCTTCCTTTTAGCTGCTTGGGTAAACAGCTGAGGCGGAGACTGTAAGTGAATTACCCTCTCAGTGATAATGCATTATACTAATCTTTTGTCCTTGACATATCTAGGGAATTCCTCATGTAAAACTCATGTTCCTTTAAATGAAAGTGAATGCTCTTGTCTGTCAGCTAAGGGAGAGGAGAGGGAAGCCTCATCAGTAGTCTGGAGACATATTCAAAACTGAACAATGATTTGACATTGTCTTGAACATGAAGATTGAGGTTCTAGACCTTTGATGGGTTGCGTCCATTTAAAAGAAAAAAACAACATGGTCAAGATTTTAAATACAAACTATAGTTTGAATTTTGTTCCGTAAGCCAAAGATTATTATTACATTAGTAAGTGAATATTAGCAGAGCAGTGGGGGAAGAGGAAAAGAAATTTTAAATAGCCAAAATCTATTATCTGGCCCTAATTCAAATTCAATTATGAGACTTCAACAAATTATCAAATCATGCCTGAATTTTCCAAACAGAAATAATCCACGTGGATTTTTTACTAAAATTGTCTTATAATCCTTACATTATGTTCATTTTTGGAAGATTTGAACTCATGGTCAGTAATTGTGCATCCTTATTAGGTTTTTCTCCTGCACAGTAGTTCATATTAGAAGTCTCAAAATACGAATTTGTTTTTCAGTGCTAGGGATCAAATCCAGGGCCTTGAGCATATTAGTCAAGAACTCCACCACTGAGCTACACTCCCAGCCCAAGAAATGTAACTTTTAATAGCTTTATAATATTCTAGCATATGAACAAAACTTAATTTATTTAGTAATTTTCCTATCATTACATGAATCTGTTTGAAAGTTTAGTTTTTTTCAACTGAAAGTTTATGGTGAGAGATCTATATATATTATTATCTGCAGTTTGGATTATTTATTTAGGATTAACTCAAAAAAAGTGAAAACACTGGATCAGAGGGTATAAGCATCTCCAAGCTTCATGATAAATATTGCCAATCTGTTTTCCAGGAAGACTGCACACATTTATGCTCCTGCCAGCCATGCAACACAGTATACAAGTATAAAACACTGTCATTTGTCTCCTTGCCAATGAAATAGTGGAATGATAGCTTCAATCTAAATTCTTGACAGTCTTTGTTAATGTGCACACCCAAATTTCCAGTGTGGGAACCCCAGTTTTATACACTTTGGTATCCTAAACTTCAGATATCTCCCTATCATCTCGGCAGAACATCAGCAAGTAAGGGAGCTTCTTCAGACATCTTAAACTCAACACAGCCAAAAATTGAATCCATGTTCTTTCTTTCGAAAACAATCTACACCCTCCACACTCAAAGCAGTGTTCTTTTTTTTTTTAATTTCCACATTAACCTAGTTCCATGCTTTATTTCCTTTTGCCTCAGCTAATGCAGTAACCTAAATTGAGTCCCTGTGCCCGTTTTCTCTTCCTTGCAATGATTATCTACACTCTTGCTAATCATCTCAAAAAAAACTAGGATATTGAAAACATAGCATGTACCACACATTGTTTGAAACATGTCATATATCATGTCATAGCTGACATATATCAAGGGCTAGCATCTGTACTACAAATGTGGATTAATTCAATCCTCCCAGGAAAGTCATCCTTGTAGAGGAGAAAATTAAGCCACAGAGAGGTTAAGAACTTGCCACTGCCAAAGAGCTAAGAGTGCCAAAGAGTGGTGGATTTAATTCCAAGCCTCCTGGTCCTGGAGGCTGTGCTCATGAGCACCGCTATATTTGACCCTGTAATCTGCTTGTGTCATTCCTCTGCTCAAAAGCCATACACTGGGCTGGGGATTTAGCTCAGTGGTTCTGCCGCCTGCCTGGCAAGTGCAAGGTCCCAAGTTTAATCCCCGGTACCAAAAACAAAACAAAAAAAAGCCATACACTGCTCCCCATTGCTTCAGGATCTGCACTGAATCTCATTTATTTTTGTATCCTAAAACCTAACACACTGTTAACCAAACAGCCAATGGGTGGAATTAAAGTCAAAGTCTACCATCTCTGGCATCTCCCTGCCGTTTCAGCTGCCTTGTTTACCTCTTCTTTCTGTAACTTCCAGTTTCAATCATACCAGGTGACATTTCCCTCAGCCTGCTGGGCTGCATGCTCCCTCTACATATCTATCCACTCCTTGGCTTAAAATGTCCCCTATCTCATCCTGATACAATATCTGCCTACTGATGTAATAGTCACCCTTCAAAACCTAACTAAAATCATACACCCTCAAGGAAGTGGTCCCCAAACACCCCAGCTGGTGTTAATTGGTCTTTGTCTTTGCTTCTGTTGCACTTCAGTTTCAATTGGGCTGTCTTCTGAGGAGATATCTGTGAACAAAACACACAGGATTCCTGGTCTCATGAAGTGTCCTTCCTCGTTAGATAAAAAGCACTGAACAAGCCAACAACTAAATCAGCAAGATCCTTTCAGGCACTGATAACTGCTATAAAAAGCAAAAGTGAAATAGAACAAGGAGATAAAATTTAGAGTGTCTGGGAAGGGGACTTTAGATTGAACAGCTTGAACATCTCCTCTGAGGTGGCAGAATGTGAGCTAAGATCTGAACAATGAGAAAAAAACAACTA